ACCCATAGATCAGAGGTTGAATAATCAGAAACCCTCTATGCCTATATAAAGAAGGTAGGCAAGCCATCCTTCTCTCCTTTTTCCCACTTTTTGAAGGATTGGAAGAAAAAATTTTCTCTCATCACCATCATTACCACCACAATATAATAGCTACAATTTATTAACTAGCCACCACATGTCATACATTATGTTAAGCAATGTTTGTATTATCTGCAAATTTCACAATGACTTTTCTTATAAATGAGCAATCCAAGATTCAGAGAAATAGTTCTTTGATTTACCCAAGACCACAAACTTCTAACCCATGGGTTAGTGAGTACAGTTGGATGGAAGAAAGGAGGAGCCAGGAGGGATAGTGAAGATATTACTTGCCATTAATCACACAGCAGAAATGGGATTCAAACCCAAATGTATCTGACTCCAATAATCTATATTTCTACCCAATTTGTTTGACTTTGAACAGGCAAAAATAGAGAACTAAGTAATTAAATTCTAGAAGTGACATTAAAATTCAGTATCCTTCGCTGAGACATTAAATTGGTAAATTATCATATTCTAATTTTCTGTAATCAATTTTTGTTATATAATTTATGTTTTCAATAATATTATTTAAATATAATATAAATGAAAATATAAGAAGATAATAATATAAAAATATTATAAGTATAAATCCTGACCCCCATTTAGTATATTTTTAAAGTTAATACATTAAGATATCATAAAATCCCACCAATGGGCACAATCAAAACACTATGATTAGAAATGAGAATTTTGTTATGAAATTAACAAGTAAGTTATTTATCCCTACTAATGAAGTAATTGCAAGAATTTTCTCTCGCCACTGAATTTATTTAGTTACCCTGGCAGAGATATCTTAGACTCGGTAATGTTCTTGTTCTGATGATACAGCTGCTTACAGTAGTTTTATTATTCATTCCCAGGAAACATGTCCAGGAAGCAGAAGTCAAATCACATTTGAAGGCTTTGTTTCTGGTGTATTATATTATATTATAAAACTTATTAGGCACTAAAATCCATTATTTAAAAAGGACCTGAAATAAAAATAGAAAATGAATTAATTTTTTATGTTAACATAACATTTTCCCTTTATTTTACTTTATTATTTTTCCCATCACCATTATGAATTTTTAATTCATATTTTAGAATCTTGTAATTAAATATTTGTCTTTTTTATATTAGAAGGATTATAACAACATAACTTGCTTATGACTACCAAATGGCTACACAGAAAATAATCATGTCATTTTGTCCAAAGGGGATTTTAAGAATTAAATTTGCCCCTGTTTAAATTCACCTTCTAAAACATTTTATTTTTTTGCTTAGGCTAATAATTGTGTATTAGTCAGTGTAATGATTTCATTCATATATCAGGACTCAATCAATTTCAATTCAATTCAACAAAAAAAATCATTGAGTATAATATGCAAGGCACTGCTAAGCTCTAAGGAAGGATAAAGGATGAGTAAGACTCTGAAAGAGACCAGGTAGCAACTATGAGACAGAGCAGGGAACGTAAGATCAATACCACAGTAACGATACAAGGGGCGGTGTAATCACTGTGTGGCAGCAATGGACTCCAGTTCAGTACGTGTGCAATGGAAAAGTTGGAAATGAAACTAACATTGAGTAGCTACATTGAAAATATCCCATGTCTTTATCCACAGACATTTTATTCAGTCCATAGCAAGTGAACAAGTATTATGAAATTCAGCTTAGTTTTTAAAATACCCTGAATTTATTTTCTTTCAGTAGCTGTAATATAGGATGCCTAATCCTATCTAATAAAGAGGGAGTATGCTAATTGACCCTCACACCATCACAAAGATGGCGGCACCCACAGCCAATAAGGAGGGAATATGCTAATTGACTGCCCACCCTCAAAGATGGCGGCACCATAGCCAATAAAGAGGGAATATGCTAATTGAATGCCCCACCCTCAAAGATGGCGGTGCCCACAGCCACAAGATGGCAGCTCCCAGTCACCTCAACCCCGCTGGGGTGTCAGGTGCGAGGCAAGGCCAGGCGGGCCCGGCCGCTTCACGCGCCCGCCTCCAGAGTCCCCCAGTCCCCCTAGCCCCCCAACCATCCAGGGCTGACCCAAGGCACAAGCAAGCCTTGGATGGCGGCTGCCCAGCTGCCCAGGACTACCCAAAGCTCAGGTAACCAGGGCCGGCCAAAGCTTGTACTGCCAGCTGTGGCAGCAGCAGAGGTGTGATGGGGTGTCACCTTCCCCTGATTGCAGGGTGGCCTCCTGCCCCTGAGGGCTCCCAGACTATGAGAGGGGGCAGGCCGGGCTGAGGGACACCCCATTCAGTGCATGAATTTTCATGCACCAGGCCTCTAGTATTCAAATAAAAGATAGAAATCTTGTCCCAAAATAAATAAAATAAAAAAGTTTGTAGGCTCATATAAGATAAAATTAACATGACTTGAGCAGAACGATGCCAACCAAAGCACCATTGTTCTTGGTTCGGTTGCTGATTACTCCTCCCCAGCATGGGTTCCTCCTCGTGTGTGTCTCAGAACATGCCTGAGGGTTGTGGCTTCTCTTGCAGGTATAAGGGCTGGAGAATCACCTGGAGGAATCACTTAGCAATGCAGCAGCTTCTGGGACTTTGCACACCCTGTTTTCTCAAAAGCTTTCTTCCCATCCTATCTCTATTGTTATTGGTTGATGATAACTTTCAGGTCCAAGCTTGGACATCACCTCCTCTGGGACATCTTCTCTGACTTCCCTGACACATACATACACATTCTAGTCTTCATTAAGGATCCCTCTTTAGTTTTCTAATTGCACTTTGTATACTGACCCCATCATTGCACATTTGAAATTATTTACTTGTCTTTTTCTCCACAAATCTGCAATCACTTTGCAGGCAGGGATTGCGTTTTGTTCAGCCTCTTGCACAGTATTGTGACATCATAGGTGCTCATTATGGATTGAAATGTATCCCCCAAAAAATCTGTGAGAAGTCCTAATCTCTGGTACTCAAAAAGTGACCTTGTTTGGAAATAGAATCATTACAGATGAAATTAGTTAAGAAGTTAATACTGGAGCAGGGTTAGCCCCTAGTCCTATATGACTGGTGTCCTTATAAGACAGCCGTGTGAAGACAGAAATACAGTAAGAAAGCAATGTGACCATGAAGGCAGGGATTGGAGTTATGGAGCGGCAAGCCAAGGAGAGCCACAGATTGCTGGCCCTGCCAATACCTTGATTTGGGACTTCTAGCCTCCAGTACTGTGAAACAATGAATATGTTGTTTTAAGCCACCCAGTTTGAAACTTTGTTACAGAAGCCCTGGGGAAAATAGTGCAGTGCTCAATAAATTTGAATGGACCAATGGATGACTTAGGAAAACCCACTGGAAACAGCTTGGGTAGACCTGCAAGTTTGTGGGGTGGGGTCTCAGGGAATCACCAGGGTGAGGCAAACAGTGATAGTCAGGTGATGGAGACTCAGATATGGTGCTTGCCTGCCTTCTCTGTGGGGAAAGGGTTCGGCAAAGGAACAATGACCTCTGCCAGCACTTCTATCTGGGTGAAAGTGGTCCCTCTAGTTCTCAAACTGATGTCAGACTCTTTAGTTCCTCCCCATACATCCTGGATGCCTTTGGAGATCCTGCTCCAGCATTGAGGCTCAGAGGGAGTAAGTCAAGTAAGTCTGCTCATGAGCCCTTTAAGAGGAACTGCCTGCGACTCCAGCACCCTCCATTACACCCAACCACAATATCTGTTGGTTTTAACAGCCAAAAGTTATTGGGACTTCTCTTCCTGGTACTGGAACCCTAGACTTGGGGGTCTGGTATGAGGCTGGGAACCATCAATCCTCAAAGAGTCTTTTGCAGCCAAAATATGCCTCCTGATTTTTGTCTACCACACGTGAGTGTGGGACCAGCCTGTTCTGTATCTCTGCCCCTCCTGCCAGTCTTGGCGTGGCTTCTTTTTTTATATTTTTAGTTTTATGACTTCCATTCAACTAAATTTCAAGTGGTTCTGAATGATGATTGTCCTGTAGTTTACTTGTATTTTTATGTGACTGTGGGAGGATGAATACCATATTTACCTTCGCCATCATCTAGACCAGAAGCCTCTTGCTTCTAATCTTGATCTAAACAGAGCTTCTTTCATTATTTTTGGCCATTGAAGTCACAAGTTTTATTTGTCAGATTCTCAGGTTTTTCTTTTGTTCTCAAATACTCCAGATGCAATTTTCTGCCTGGCTATCTCCAAAACTGAATATAAGTGATTCTATGAAAAAAAAATTTGTACCTATATTTGCCTCTTTTTATATAGTCTATATCTTGATAAATCTTCATGCCTGCATTAAATTAGTTTTTTACACTTAGGAAAACTTGAGAAAGTGCATGTCTCAATATCTAAGACAGGAGAGATGAGAGAATAAGGCTCTGTTTCATGCGCAAGCTACTAGAAAGAGCCCTGTTATAGTACTTAGGCATGTGGTTTGAGCTTGCTGATTTTGTATATTGTCATCACTTAATGGCAATTTCGTGTGGTGGTCATTAGCTTGGGATTTGTTGTCAAATACAATTGGTACCAAATCTAGTTCTGCACTTAATATCCTGAGTAAGTTACTTAACCTTAGTAAACTTCAGATTCCTCATCTATAACATGGTATAATAGTAGTCAAACTTATGAGTTATTATAAGAAAATAATTACATAACGTATATAAAGTTCTTGGCATAGTTCATGTATTAAAGTCTTAATAAAAGTTAATCATTAGATGCACAAGAAAACCCCTTTTATTTGGGATTGAATTGTTTTGCAGAGCACCATCCTCTGGAATAAAAACTGCATTGTGTTACAAATGAAAAATATAAATCTATAATGGAAAAAAATATTTTTAAATTCTGCCCCAAAATGCAAGAAGAAAAATGGAAAAAAATCTACTCTTGATGGACACAAAAATTGCATTAATGAGTCAAAAGACTCAATCACTTCTTCCCTCTTTACACAGGCTAAAAAGAGAGATGAGATTCTCCAACTCTTTAAAAAACAAAGAGAAGAAAGGATCTCGGTGAGACTGATAGTAGGCATTTGGATAAATCTATCTGGGTGAGGGGTGGTGAACTATCGAAAATTCTCCAAGATTGACCCCTTGAATCTAGGTAACAAGGTCCTGAGCCTTTTATATACCAGAGGGGGGCAGGGTATAGACATCAGATGATTTGGCAATCCTTGATAAACCAAAGATATCTCCAGGGTGTGCCAGCTCTGATGCCAGAGAAATTAGATGCTATTGTCAGTGAGCTGATTATCACATAGTTTAAAGCTGCAGTATTAACATGGGCTACTTCGGTGCTAATATTTGTTTTATGATGATTGATCTTACTTAGATCATGCAAAAACAAATGCTAAACGATGATAAACAAACAATAAAAACAACAACAGGACCCTGTAAACTTATGAATGTATAAACTCTCCTGAATGAACCCCAAATTCCCTAATCTGGAACATTTTTGACCCCACAGTCTCCAGACTTAAGAAGCTAGTCTGTATAAACTCTGTGATAATTTTACCTCAAAATTTTTTTTCAATTAAATTTCAGTCAGTGCAAAAGGTAACACATTTCCTTTTTGATTTTTTGTTTTGTTAGAAAGAACTGATCTCCCTTCCTTATAAACCAAAGAACAAAGTCTGCAAAGCAAAGTAAGTTTACTTCTGTCAAATATTTTTACTTTTTTAGTTACCCCATAAAAGCGCTTTTTTTCTTACTCACTTTGCCCCCCTATACTCAAATCTTCTAAAAACCCACCCACTGATTTAGAGATTTCTTGCCTTGAATAAACTTTCTTCTTTTCTATATTAAAGCCTGTGTGTCCACTTCCATATCTGTGAAATATGCAAGCATAAGTTAGTGTAAACAGGAAAGTAAATCAACCTTATATCTCTGTACACATTCTCTCCCCCTCCTTTCTTTTTTTTAAAAAAAATATATTTTATTGATTTTTTTACAGAGAGGAAGGGAGAGAGATAGTTAGAAACATCAATCAGCTGCCTCCTGCACATCTCCCACTGGGGATGTGCCCGCAACCCAGGTACATGCCCCCTGACCGGAATCGAACCCCGGGACCTTTCAGTCCGCAGGCCGACGCTCTACCCACTGAGCCAAACAGGTTTCAGATACCCCTCCTTTCGTAACCTGGGCTATTGTATCCACCTGCTAGTGACCTCTCCACTCCCCTTTCCCCTACTCACACCTACCCCCACCATCCTTAGCAAATCAGTAGGTCTTTTATTGTCAGTGCTGACACCACCAATGGCATATCTGTAAATCCATGTAGCAGGGCTTTACCCTCACAGTGATGAGCTAAAAGCCTTATCCCTAGAATAATATTAGAGCAGGACCAGGCACAGGGTCCAGAACTATTGAAAGGAAACCAGCTGCCACTAGTTAATCATTTAAGAACTCTCAGAGTTTTTTTTATTTTTTTTATTTTTTTTTTTATTATGACTGAAAACCAATGTGGCTATCTCAATATTTATTTTAAAAGTATTTATTTGCATAATAGCTTCAGGGAAGAACAGTTAGAAAGTAATAGAATTCCCATGTTGATCCAAGAGTAAAACATATTTCATAGCTTACTTTTTTTTTTTTTTGTATATCAGCTTGCTAATTCTCCCTCCTCTGTCCTGAGGCCTTGAATTTCTTTCCATTTCACTGTGACAACTTCTTCCTCTGAGCTTCTTACACTATAACCATCTTTTGGCAATTGATCACACACTGCTCTGTGCCCACATTCTATTATTATTCAACTCATATTATGTCTTGAGTTGTTATTTAACTTTTCACATATCTTTACCTTGTCTATGACTGTATTGTAAGCTCCATTAGAAACTGGGTCACCCAAAGTGCCTAGCATACTTCCTACATGTAGTAATGCAGAAAATATTCAGAAAGATGTTGTTCAGTATGTTAATTTAGAAAGTGATGTTTTTATACGTACATTAGTTTATAACATTTTTTTAATTTTGAAATATTTTAGACACATTGTAAAATACTTTAATTTTGCCCTCTTTTACCTCCCTCCATTCTTTCCTATCTGTCCCAAACCCCTTTGGGTACACAGATACAACCTTACCATCCCTTATCCAACAGATCTTAAGACAATCCAAATCCCCTACTGTCAGAAAGAAAGAGCTAGAAAGTGTGTACAGAGTAAGATTTTAGTAGCAATATGTTTATTATCCACTCCAGGAATATTTGCATTATAGAGGACTGATTAGAAGGAACAATAGATAACCCATCATAATCAGTTAGCAATGATGAAATCTCCCAAGTTTGACTCTTGGGTGAGCAAAACATATTTAGGGTTAGGAGGTCTTCTCTCACGCTCTTCAAATCACACTTTACAGTAGAATTACAGCTCCTCCCACATATAAGCTTACACTTGGTTGCAAAATCTAATGCGTTGTCAGAATCCAAGACAGTAAATCTTTATTGGGAAAACTTTCGAAAGTCGTTTCCATGCTACTTTGTGTTCACAACTACAGAGTTCTGTGTATGGGAACTGACCTATGTTACTGCCAACAGGAAAGTGATTCCAGAGTCCAATAAGGAAGACCAAGAAGAAGTCAAAGCCTTGAACTAAATTGGTTGACACGTTCTAGAGGATGGCTCACTTAGATCTTCACTTTTGGAACAACCTAGTCCTACATCAGCATCATTGGGATCATTTGTTAAAATAGGCAAAGAAATAAAAGTTAAGTATGCAGACTTCCAGGAATTTTACCAGTTATTGAATATTTGGATCTATTTTACTTATTGGATACCACTGTATTTGACACCACACAATAACCATCTCTCTCATCTTATATATTCTCAAACTCCTATTTCTCTTGTTTTTATTTGTTGTCTCCAGAATTGTTATATTTGATCTATGTTATGAATATCAGATAAACAAGAAACAGGGCTTTATGTGCCCCAACTACTAGACCAGTAATAAAAACAATAAGCAAATAGAGATGAAAGGGCAATCCTAAAAACTTTAAAGTTTTCTTCATGTAAAAAAAAAAAAATCTGTTTTCCAAAATTTGGTTTCTGGGACATGTCTGCAGTCAGGAATGAATTGCTCTAGTTCTGTGACCAGCTGGCTTAGCATTCCTATGTCTTACACACATGTACATCCCAGTGCCAACCTCCCTCACTTTTAAAGATCATTCTCTTTGGTGTATATTGGAAACGAGAAGGTTAAGTATTTGCTCTTCGGCATTGTCCCACTGGCATTCCTGCTCCAGTGCTCACAGCTCTATCTATGACCACCACTCACTTCACTTGGCCTCCGCCTGCAGCTCCTGGACATAGCCTCCTTCAGATGCAACTCCTACTCCGCAGCGCCTACAGAACTTAATCACAGGGACACACCGAACTGCAAGGGAGGCCAGGAAATAGGCTTTAAATGGTGGGCGGGGGGGGGGGGGGGGCGGGTGGATGGAAATACCCAATTAAAATTCAGGACTCTATCACTAAAAGAAGTAGAGAATGGATATTAGTGGAAACTAGCAGTTTCCACCACAGCACTATTTGAAGAAAAGTGTTTTGAACAGAGGTAAGCCTTGAAAAAAGAAGTTTAAAAAGTTATAAAATGGAAATCTCATATCAGCACCATCAAGAATAAAAAGGCCCTAGCCAGTTTTCTCAGTGGATAGAGCGTCAGCCTGCAGACCAAAGAGTCCTGGATTCGATTCCAGTCAAGGGCCAGTACCTGGGTTGCAGGCTCCTCCTCGGCCCTGGTCGGGTTCGTGCAGGAGACAACCTATCAATGTGTTTCTCACACTTCGATATTGATATTTCTCTCTGTCTTTCTCTCTCTCTTCCACTTTCTCTAAAAATCAATGGAAAATATCCTCAGGTAAGAATTAAAAGAATAAAAGGGACCCTATCAGGATGATGTGTTTGTCTGCCAGACAGATAGCTCTCTTTAGTGATGACATAGCACGCTATCAAAGCCTAAACTTCCAAATCATGTAATTAATTCCCTTTCTTCTGATCCCATGCTCACTGAGTAATCTTTTGCCCAGAGGGAGAGTATGTGCTCAACAGGCCAATGCAAACATGAGCTTACCTGATGATTGTATTTCTCAATGTGTAAAGATATTAGTCTCTTAGATTGGGTTTGAGTTTGTCAAACTAAGGATTAGACCCTGGACCAAGATAATTTTACCGAGAAAAATTCCACTTTGTGAGCTTTCTTGGCAACCAGCCTTTCCCTGGTGACACCTGCCTGCATTGCCAGGTGTAACGGTTAGGTATTACTGCGACAATACTGCATGTCAAAGTGAGCGTCAACATTTATTCTTGCTCACACATCTATGGGTCAGTTGGGGGTTCAAACACAGAGACAAGAGGGAGGGAAACATACTCTGCCCCCTGAGTAAGAGGAGCTGCAAAGTCACATAATAAAGGGTGTGGATACAGGGGTGTGTGAAGAATCGGGGTTGTTATTACAGTCTACCACATTAGGTTGACTGCATGCCTCAACGAAGTCTCTCTGGACCAAGGGCCAGCGTATCAAAGGGAGAACTCAGGGCACAATTTAATTAATTGGACCAAGGTAACAGCTTCTCTAGGTTGTAACGATGCTGTAATATTGGAAATAAATATTTTGCAATTGACATTAAGTGCCCAGCTACCTACACACTTGAACATCTGTTTGTCTTATCAACCCTTCACAAAAGTTGAGGTAACTTTTAGTGTTACCAAGATTTAGTTGAAACTTAGGCCAAAACAACAACAACAAAACCCACACAATAAAACTTCTCAAAGGCCACCCAGACATTAAGTGAAGAAAAACAGGACTGGAAACAATGCCCGGTGCCAAATCAAGGGCTGATTTTCACCAGAGCAGCTCTCTCTGATTGTTTAGATAATGAGGAATTTCTAGAAAGAATGTATGCTGGATACGAGATATTCTAATTCGGAGATAAAGACGGGTGGTACATGAACTTGCCGTAAGTTCCTTCTGTTGCTACTGGTTTCTGCAGTAGCAGAGCTTCCCCGTATTACCAGCTGGTACTCCACACCCCCACACACACCCCGCGCCCCCACACACCCCCTGCCTGTATTCAGACCTATGTGTCTAGAATTGCAGTGGCTCAAGCTGAGGCCCGAAACCGAAACCAGAAGTCAGCCCAGATGGAGCTTCTGCTGTGCTTCACAGAAGGGCAAAGGCAGGGAAATCAGACGCACCTCTGCCACTTAGTGCGTAGTTTTTGGAGGCTTACATTATTGTCTGGATGTATTTGAAGACCAAATGTAAAACACAGCTGCTGTGGGAGCTTAGAAGAAGGAGCTCACATTGAGGGCTGGGTTGTGAGGAAAGCGTTTCCAAAGGAACTCGGGTCACTGTTTCGTGGGGGGCGGGGCCATCTCCTTTCTATCACAAGCTCAAGGCTGAACAAACATGAGCCCTGCAAAAAGCAGGGCGATGTTACTTCCTCGCTGAATTCAGTCATCCTTTGGCCTCGGGCGGAGCTGCTCTCCGCTCAGCCAGAACTTCAACTTAGCCTCCTTCTAGGGACGCGATCCGTGCTGTCCCTCACGCGCCCGGCCAGCCCGAAGCCTGCGCTGCCCCCTACCAGCCCCAGGCGGTCTCCGTGCTGCCTCTCCCAAGTGCATCTGGCCTGTCCCCAGGAGGGGGGGCGAGGCGCGGTCCTGTTTTTAGCCACAGTGCCCTCGTCATCAGACTTCAGCGAAGCCAGGCGGGTTTGCCCCGGCCCTGAGCTCTAGGCAAATGCGGGATCTCCTCGGGAAGCTCGGAGTGGGGCGGGAGCTGGCTCCCCTCCCCTGCTCGCTGCCCCCGGGCGGGCCGGGTGTCTGGCGCCCAGCCCCGGAGGAGGCCAGGGGGGCGGGCCAGCTGGCGGGGCTGCCCTCCCCGCAGTGACGTCCCAGGGGGCGGAGGGGAGACGGGCTGGCTCCGCGCCCTCCCCACCTCCTCCGGGTGCCAGGTCTGTCCTCCGGAGATGCAGCTGCCGGGTGCAGTGGTGCGGGCTGCCGAAGGTCCACCCGCTCCTCCGCGGTAGCGCCCGGGGTCCGAGGCTCACGGGGCGGGCCATGCAGCTGGGGGCGCCGCAGGCCGTGCTGCTGGCCGTGCTGCTGGCGGGGCTCCGGGGCCAGAAGGGTCGCCTGCTGAGCGGTGAGTGCGCGGGGGCCGCTTCCCGGGAGGCTCGGCTGATGCGCCCACCGCACCCCAGCCACGGCTGTCTTCAGGGCCACCTCTTCTCAGGCCCTTTACAGAGAGGGGGCTGCGGGGGTGAGGGCGGTGGCGCCCCAATCTAACTAGTGGACTCAGCCTTTCTGGGGGAGCAATCGCCCGCGGCTGAGCCCCGCGCGGGTTCCCTGATATCCTGGATCTCGCCAAGTCTGTCCCCAGCCCAGCTCGCGGAATGCGGGAACGTGGGCTGGTGGGACAGTGGGCCCAGTTGGCCCGGCAGGCACAGGCCCGGGACCCCCACGCAGATCGGGCTCGCAGACTCCCGGTCCTGCCCCCCTGGGAAGGTCTGATAGGAGAGGGCGGGTATAGTAGGGGTTCCGGATCGGCTGTGCCCCGGGAACCTAGCCAGTTACTCCTGGTCTTTTGCGGGGAGGGGGCGGGATGGCTGAGTCCAGCGCTCGGAATACGCGCTTGGAGATCGGAAAGAAGCCTAGTGTGCTCGGGACAAGTCCCGCCTGACTCTGAGGAGTGACTCTCTGCTTCCTTCCTCCCCCGTGTCTGCAGCCTCGGACGTGGACCTCAGAGGAGGTACAGTGCTTGGGTTTCTTGCCTCTTGCATTCGTTCTGCATGTGGGGGTAGAAGGCCCGCGCTCCTGTCTTTCTCAGGCCGCCTCGCAGGCGACCGCATGGCCCCAGAGGGACAGAGGCGAATGGAACCCGCACCCCTTTATCCTGCTGGCACCGCTGATTGAAAAAATCCTAAAGTTGGTTTCCTGCTTGCACAGCTGATTGAAAACATCTAAAGTTGGTTTCCGGGCGAGATTGGGTGCGGAGCGGCCAAGGGGAGGGTGAACTGAATTGGGCTGCTTGGCTCTGTCATCAGCCAAGGGGAACAGACGGCCGTCCCCCCTTCCCCTTCCTGCAAAAGAGAAGAGCCGGACACTTCCTGAGGCCAGGGAGCCAGACGCGCCCTGGGCCTCCTGCCAGCTCTGGCCCTGGGGCCACTCACCTGCTGACTTGGGAGGTGTGGCCTGGCTGGACCACATGGGGAACTTCTTCAGGGTGTTACCTTTTCCCTTGATCATCCAACAGTGTTCAGCGGGCACTACCAGTAAATCAACTCCAACTTCTGTTTTGCTGATGACCAGCTGGGGAGCGGAGGGTGGAGTGGGGGGCCTAGGGCTCATGCATTTGTCTTTTGCTCATTTGGAGCCACCTCTAAGGACTCCTTGAAGCAGAGCTGGGCCCAGTCTTCTCCCAGGCAGCAGCCCAGCCACAGTCTCTCCGGCCAGTGATCCCAGTTTCTCTGGAATACCTTTTCGGTGAAATACCACTTTTGAGGCCTCCTATTTCTCTGGAGGACCAGTCCTATTAGGGTTTATTTAGCAATAGCAGAATGACACCTAAAGAAAGAAGGTACAAAACTCTTCATAACTGGCTGCTTATTGAGACTTTCTCTACCAAAGCAATGAAAGAAGAAACAGGAAATAAGAAATCACAGCCTTCTGGATTTGTCCGTATGTGCGCTGGTCCCGTTAGCACTGTATGCTTATGATGGAGGATAATGAAGGCTGTCTGGCTCCCAGCACAGCTGCAGAATAAGTTAGGAAAGTGAGAGCATTCCATGAGGGCTGGGAAGAGGCTTGCAAACCAAAATCCGTTACCCCTGGCTTTATGCAACAAGTCACACCCACAGCCCAGTATCTGGCTCTTCACTGAAAGGGATTCCCCTTGTACTCTGGATCCAGAAACAGATGCTGTCTGCTCCCGTGGGCTGGGACCTGGCATCTGTTTCCATATTCCCAGCACTTACCACAGTGCTAGGCATAACTAGTACACTCAGTACATGATGATTAAACAGAGGAGTAATGAGGCTCATGCTTCAGGGGTAGTAAGGCTCCAGGCACCGGGACCCAAGCTAGAGCGATGTGTACTGGTGAACAATTTGTTATTTGCTCCTCAGTAGAATCCCATCTACTTGTCTCAGATGGTCTTCTGCCCTTCAGCTGTCAGTCAGTTGGAACACGCCTGACTGTGGGATGGGGAGTGGGTAATACAGTTCGCTGGTTACTGGCATGACTTTATAATTAGGGCTCTGACTTAGGCAATGCTGCTGATAGCTATGTGGCCTTAGCCAAATTCTTTACTTTCTCTAAGCCTCGGTTTTCTCATCTGTAAGATGGGCATAAGCAATATCTACATCAGGGACTTACTATGGGAGTTCAATGAGATAAATGATGTATGTAAATGTAAAAAAACCCAAAACCTTGGCATAGTTCATGGCACATAGTGAGAGTTCAGTTAACCTTAGTTGAGCTTAGGCAAGATCAGTAGCAGAACGGCGCACAGAATGGGTGAATTCTGAGTCCTGCCACATGGGCAGGGGGCTCCAGGGTAGAGAAGTCCACACCCAATTTCAGCATGCCTCTCTTCCCTGAAGGAAGCACCAAACAGATAACTCACTTAAAGCCACACTAAAGAAGTAAGAAAAAATAAAAATAAAAAATATAAAAAAGCCACATTGTCCCCTGAGACTCCCTAATAGCATGAAAGTGATTTGTGTGCCTTTACGTGACACCATACGCTTTCATCTGCCTCTCTTTAGAGGAAAGCCAAAAATCTGCTGTCCAGGAAGCTGCGATGGGACAAACAAAGCATGGAGTCCCTACGTGATAGAGTCTAAGTCACCACATCTCCTGCGGGCAGGCTGTTAACTTTTCTCAGAACCCTAACTGATCTTACAACAGTCCACTGATGAGTCATCAGAAAGCCTGCCCTAGGGACAGCTTCATTCGCATGCCTCCAAGTCCCTGCTCTAGTGTACTTTGGGTTCACTGACATGGTTGGAATTTTTTTTTTTCTAGGTCAGCCAGTCTGCCGGGGAGGAACACAGAGACCTTGTTATAAAGTCCTTTACTTCCATGATGCTTCTCGAAGACTGAACTTTGAGGAAGCCAGAGCAGCCTGCCGGAGGGATGGGGGCCAGCTAGTCAGCATTGAGTCTGAAGATGAACAGAGGCTGATAGAAAAGTTCATTGAAAACCTCCTGGCGTCTGATGGCGATTTCTGGATTGGGCTCCGGAGGCGTGAGGAGAAGCAAAGCAACAGCACAGCCTGCCAGGACCTTTACACTTGGATGGATGGCAGCATATCAACATTCAGGTAAATGTGGAACCCAAGGTGGCTAACCCACTTGACATAATTCCAAAAGGAAGCAGGTTAGACCCATGGTGCCAGGTGAGTGAGAAGGAGGAGGAGGCCGATCCAGACAACAGCTGTGAAGAGACGGCAGCGGAGTAGTGTTGACTAAAGCAGTGTAGTGAAGGTGGCGAGTCAGCCTTGATCTGGGCCCAGCTCTTATCCAAAGAACTCTCTTCTGAAGGGTGTGGCCCCAAAGCGTTGTTCCAATGGCATGCAATGCTTCCAGTCAATCATTCTGGCTACCTGGCTTTTCAGACTAGAACTCCAGTGAGAGATGGAAGGTCTATGGGGCTAAGACTGAAGGTAGATCTCCAGATCACAGGGAATCATAATGATGGGCAAGAAATCAGAGACAAGATCTAATTCTATGGATTGGACAAGAGAGGGCTGAAGGGAGCCTACAGTTTATAGAACCTTCCTAAACCCATGCCCTCCCCTGGCACCATGGTGTTGCCATCGCCTCCACCCCCACCCCAAGAAATGCAGTGACATGGACAAACATAAAAAAATATCAAATTAAAAGGCAGACATAAGACTGGAAAAAATTGTAGAAAATTTAACAAAGAGTATATTTTTATGAGTTTATATAAAAGTCAATAAAACACTGAAAGTTTACATTTATAATAATAAAAGCATAATATGCTACTTAGACCGGACAGTTGAACAACCTTCCAGACGTCATTCCATACATCCTTCCCAAAGAAGCCACGGTGGTGGGGTCGAGGCAGAGGCAGTTAGAGGTGATCAGGCAGGCAAGCGAGCAGTTAGGGGTGATCAGGCAAGCAGGCAGAGTGTTTAGGGGTGATCAGGCAGGCAGGCGAGTGGTTAGGGGTGATCAGACAGGCAGGCAAGTGGTTAGGGGTGATCAGACAAGCAGGCAGGCGAGCATTTAGGAGGCAGCGGTCTCAGATGGTGAGAGGGTGCAGGCTGGGCTGAGGGACACCCCCCTCCAGTGCACGAATTTTGTGCACTGGGCCTCTAGTAAGTTAATAAAACCTCAAAAGATAAAGAGGCGAAGGACCTAAGCAAACATTTCAGGAAATACAAAATCTAACTGGTAAACAATCACATGATAAAAAAAAGTTTAAACTCATTATCAATAAAAAGAATGAAAGTTAAAATATATCTTCTTTACCCATTACATTTAAGACAGCATGTCAGCATCTATCAAAGTCTACCCATTATGCTGATCAGACCCACATCTTCATCTAAGACAGCAGTTCTCAACCTGTGGGTCTCGACCCCTTTGGAGGTCGAACGACCCTTTCACAGGGGTCGCCTAAGACCATCGGAAAACACATATATAATTACATATTGTTTATATATAAACACATATTGTTGACAGTAGCAAAATTACAGTTATGAAGTAGCAACGAAAATAATTTTATGGTTGGGGGTCACCACAACATGAGGAACTGTATTAAAGGGTTGAGGCATTAGAAGGTTGAGAACCACTGATCTTAGTTCTAGGAGTACCTCCTTTGGGATCCTCATGGGCTTCTCTTCCTGGGAGAAACTTAAAAGGGAAGGTTAATAGGATGAACTGCACTTCTCACCACTGCATCTCCCTCCTCTGCTATCCAGTCCAGATTCCCTGCCCCTCTGCTCAGGGACTAGGAGGCCCTAGTCACCTTGCACTTTTCCATTTACCATCAAAATTAGGCATATGAGTACTGACAGGTATCCAAATAGACAATCTGGGTGCCGTACATATTTCTCTCTGTTCATAATGTGGAATAGCAGAAGTACTTCCTCCCCATGATTAGGGTGAGTTAACTCTTGCCAAGATAATAGTCTTCTTCTTACCTGCTGGTCCCTGCACACAGGGACCCCAGAGTGCCCAGGTGGCAGCCAAAGCTCATAGTTCAATAAGGCTTTTGCTGCATCTTCTAATGGGTACCCTTTGGGTCCCAGGACCTTTAAACTCAGAAAGCCCAGCATTGCAGAGACAATAGGTACAGATTCTCCAACTGGGCCACTACCAGTGATAGTAATCAGGACTTCTTCTGCTTCCATCCTTAGGCTCCCAGGCCTATGTAGTCTTACTCTTGGAGACACAGGACGATACAAAGGTCATTGATTCAAAGTGTACACTGCATCTTGGAGGATGATGCCCTGTTCTCACAAAGTATTGCCTCTAAGCTAGTGCTTCAAGCTTTGTTTTCAATGGCTCTTCCATAACTCTGTCAAGCTGGCAGCTTCAGGATAGTGAATATATGAGGTGATTAGCAAATCCCATGGCCAGGTTCCTACTCCCACTCCTTTGCTATAAAGTAGATCCTGTGGTCTGATGAGATGTTACTTGGGGTACGGTGCTGGTAGATCAAATACTGTGTGTGTAACCCTTTGGATAGTGATGCTGACTAAGGCCCTGGGGCAGGAAAGGCAAACCCACACCCAGGCTGTGTGTCTATTCCTGTCAAAATGAGTCACTGGAAGGAGTCCATTGTAGTCAACTTGCTGGTCTCCTAGGGTAGGTACCCTTTCAGGGACTTAGCATTGGTCTCTATTGCTGGCAGGTTAGGTAGTCCTTGGGGAGTGTGGACCGATACTGTTGAGCCCATGCAATTTCCATCCCTGCCACCATGGCTACTCTAGTGTGTAGCTATTGCACCAGCACTGGGGCAGCTGACAACAGACTAGCTGACGTCAACTGGCCAAGTCATTTTGTATCCCTCGTTGTTAAGGGTCTCTTCCATGCTAGATACTTTCTGGTGGGCTTTAACATATAAAAGAGTCTCATACTTCATGCCTATTCCCATATGTCTAGTCATAACACTCTATCCAATAGCTCCTTGTCCCCAATCTTCCACTCTTTCTCCTTTTAGAAAGCTTTTACCCCTGATCAGCTGGCCAAGCTCTCTGCCCTACCCCTGAGTCCTTCTCTCTTCTAACCTCCACTAACTACCAACAAAACTCTGGACATTGGGAGGATGTCCCCTTAACACTTGACCTTTCAAGACCACCTCTGAGTGGGGCTGTAGTGCAGCTGTTATCCATTTGGAGCTGTATGCCATATTTGGCTGACTTATCCACAAACCAAGCTCAGGCTGCCTCTATCAGCTAGTTGACGCAAGGGATTCCCTTCTACAGCCATAGGTGTAAGCTGAGAAAGAGACACTAGTACAACAGTGGTAGATGTCATGGCAGTCTGCTCTGCCTATTCATACAGTGCTCTTTGCCCTACTCATACAATGCCCTTCAGTCATATATATCTTCCATCTATAATGGATTGCTTCTAGGCCTGCCTGGCCTGTGACTATGTGTGTCTGACAGCGCTTCACTCATGATGGGCAAGTTGGATTGAATGATCTCTTGGTGCTCTTTTTATAGTAGCAAGCCAGGTGGTTCTTTCTCAGCTATAGATGACAAGGCCTTGCTACAGAATCCTAGGGGTTTGCCTTGTGATTCTCTCATTGGGGCTTGTCACAAATTCTACATGGCATTATTTTTCCCACCATTGATACCTCTAATAATAGGGTCTACTTGATCATATGGCCCAAGTGGTAAGTCTCTTTGCACCACAGCCTAGACCTGCTTCAGGGTCCTTTTCGGCTATAAATCCCACTCAAAGCCAGCTGTCTTTTGCGTCAGCTGGTTTTCGGGCCAGAGCTGTATTTCCAGGTATGAAATATGCTTCTAGAACCCAAAGAGACCTACTAATGCCATGGTTCCTTCTTCAAGTTATTGCAAAATGCTTCAAATTACTGCTTTAAATCCTTTCATTTGAAAGGGATGTTCTGGCATTCCCTAGATCACTAGACACCTATACATTTTCATGAAGTGGCAGGTCCCTGAATCGTCATAAGGTTTAGCTCCAACCCATGGAGCACATGAATCTTACTAAGCCTCCATTTACTAGCTGTTTCTTGTTCATCTGCTTCACTCAGCATGTCAGCAACGTAATGGACTAGCATGATTTTCTGCAAGATGTCTGGGCTGCTCAGGTCTCTTCATGCCATATTAGGACAGAGGGCAGGAAAATTAGTGTCGTCCTAAGGGAAGACTAGAGTGTATACTGTTGTCTATTCCAAAGAAATACAAACTGTTTCTGATTCTTTCCCTGATAAAGATGAAAAAAAAATGTGTTCACCAGATCTGCATACTAGGTACCAAGGGCATGTTAGCCTGCTGTAACAAAGATACCACATACGGGAAAGCAGCTGCAATTGAGGCTTCCACTTGGTTCAGTTTACACTACTCCAGTCTTCTTCAGGACCTGCCTGCTTTGTTGCAGACTAATGAATTACACAGAGATGTGATGGGGAATACCACCCTTGCAGTCTCTAAGTCTTTAGGGATGCCACTACTTTCTGTCATCTTCTCCTGGATAAGATACTGTGTTTACTTACTATCTTGAAGAGGGTTGGGGAAAGTGCAGTTTCAGAGGCTTCCACTTGACCTTCTCTGCTATGAAAGCCTATAGGCTTTCAATTTGTATATTTGGGGACTCAAAAATGAGCACTGGATGGGTCCCACTGTGAGCTGGTCCTGGGCCAGAATTTCACTTGATACCTGACCTCAGTATGCACCCACTCTAATGGGCAGCCTTGGTGTCACTTCAAGTCTTTGGGCATCAATGTCGACTTGCACCTTGTGTCCAGCAGGCTCTATAATAGTTGGGTTTCCTCTTCTCCCACTGCATGGCTACTTGAGTAAATGGCTGTAGGCCCCTTTGGGAGAACAGAGGAGATTATCACCACTTGTACCTGCCATGGTGTTGCAGGGTCCTTCCTCCTTGGAACCTAGCCTCTCCTATCAAAGAGTGCTCAGCTTGAAACCAGGTGCAAGATGTAACATTCCATCTAGTCTATCACCTGTGAGATGAAATAACATAAAGCCATAAGGCCAGTGGAAAGCCATAAGACCAATGGCAAGTCAGTGTAAGAGGCCCACCTATGGAGTTGGAAAATGGCCTGGAGGTAACTAATGAGGAGCAGAGGATCCAGGCATAGTATCCAGTGGTATTGCAATGCCAGCTATTGTCCAGGCACATAAAACCCAGTGGGTGCAGCAAAGGGTCTTCCTTTTGGTGGAGGGAATACAACACTGAGCAGAGCCATAATGGGGTGCTATGAGGCGACCTGACTCATAGCTGTTTCCTAAGGAAAGGCTCTGATGAGAGTAGGCAGAGCTGCAGGGCCCAGTAATACTCTGAGCATCAGGGCAAGCTCTGAGTGCTGGAAGGGAACAGCTCAGGTGCGTAATCTGGTAGACTAGAGCCAGCCCATGGCCAGTGCATGGAGTGGGTGCTCAGAGCACTTCGACGCTTTGTGAAATCCAAAACCTGGCACCCACGTATCCAGCTGGGTGGCAGTGCCGTTTAATTCCAAGTAGCACTGGATAGTGACGCTGAGGCTGCTAATGCATCCTACCCAGGAGCCAGGGAGACCAAGACAAGAAATGTAGCAGTGAAGGCCAACCAAGGGGCTCATCAGCCTGAGGAGCAGGAAAAAGCTGGAGACTATGTGGGCCCTCTGCTCTTGTCCCCACCCCCTCACCTGCTTTGACAGCCTCTATATTCTGGAAAGTCTTCTCAGGGCTGGAAAAGTCAGTTATGGCCAATTAAAAAGTGTGAGGAGATGGGAGGAGGACATGAGATGAGTCATGCCTCTTCTCAGCACATCTGACTTACAAAAGAAGAAAAACAAACCCAGTTATCGAAAAGCAAGCAATAAATAAGATTGTTCAGAATGCGCTGCTAGCTGTTTTTTTTCCCCATAATTACTTCGCAGAAATCATATGGTAATATATTCCTTCCTTCCTGCAAAAAGGTTGTGGCAAATGTCAGATGATTGATTGTGCTGTCCATATTAGAAAGCCTGGCGGTACTTCAATTCCTCCCTTTTTCTATATCGTGTTCTTGAAGCAGAGTCTTAAGTTTGTGGCTCAGTAGGATTTGATGGACAAACAAAGGCTTTGAAGGCTGCTGGTATCCTTCTCCAATTGCCTCCACTGTTGACCCCTTTCCTACAGGAACTGGTATGTGGATGAGCCTTCCTGTGGCAGCGAGGTCTGCGTAGTCATGTACCATCAGCCATCTGCACCCACCGGCATCGGGGGCCCCTATATGTTCCAGTGGAATGACGACCGATGCAACATGAAGAACAATTTCATTTGCAAATACTCCGATGGTAATGATCCTCTCCCACGTTAGGTGGCTGAATCTCTCACTTTCTCTCTCATTTCATGAGCAGCTTGCTGGTTCCAAGAATTTATTATGTGGTCTCCAAGAAAGTGTGTTGCACATGCCAGCAATGTGCAACATTGGGAATCCTTGGAAAGGGACACGTAGAGAGCCTTCCTCCTTGAGGAATAGCACTAGCAAAGGAGAGGGGTATCAGATGCTAAGAGAGGGATGAAGCAAAGAAAGGGTCTAATTTATGTATAATAAAGCAAGAATTATGAGAACTCCGGGAAAAAAAAGTTCTCTAAGTGGACAATTACAAATTCTGATTCTTTCCACATGTGATGTTGGCTGTAGGAGCTTGGAATAAAGAAGAAATATGAAAAGAAACTGGCCATTGTTCCTACAAGTCTTCTAACAGCCATGTGAGATTATTTTCTGGGGCTTTAAGGAAACAGAATTGTGACCTGAGGCGGTAGATGATAAAATACACCAGTTTCTCTGGTTTGGGGCAAAGAGTAGACACACTGATGAGCTCGAACTCCCAGACCACCCTCTATATGTACCTTGCAAGTGCAACGGGCGTTTGCTCCTAGGTCTGTAGTCTCATTGTGCTGGAGTTTCCCACACTCCTCCATTATGACTGGCTTGGGTCTAAACTTGAAGTGAGTTCTGATCTGTCCCTCAAGTTTCTCACCTCCATGAAGCCAACTGCTTGGCTCCCGTTCTGCACCCTTTCCCGATAGGAGAATGACTTAGTTCTAGTTGGTTACTAAGTAATCCTATCATCCTTTAATTGTTTGAATCGGACTATGCTTTTCTGCTAAAAGGTTTCTTTTCTTTCTTTCCACCCTCTCAAGTGAATTATGTTTCCCAGGACCTGTTTCCCTAAGTCCCATGCAGCGTTGTCTTAGGCAGGTGATCGCAAAGCTGGAGGCTGTCTGAGCAGGTCACCTTCCAGAGCAATGAGAGAGAGAGAGAGAGAGAGAGAGAGAGAGAGAGAGAGAGGAGAGATTAAAGAGAATAAGTAAATAAATGAAATATGATAAAATTATAACATTTGGGTGGAGAATATATGAAAATTATTTGTACTATTCTTGCAAATTTTTATAAATCGGAAACTACTTCAAAATAATAAATTTTAAAAAATGATAATTTCCTCTGGGAACCTTCCAGGGCCCCTCAAACTAGGTTAGGTGATCCTCCCATGAGGATCATAGCTCCTCACACACCCATTATTTTAACAGCCTATTTACAAGTTTGGCTCCCTCCCTACATGTTTGGCATGAGGTCCGGAAATATCCACGTTTGACCAATTAATCCCTGCACTTGGTGGATTAGGGAAAGTTCATCCAGTGTGGTTCCAACAGGATGGCACACCACTCATTATGCCAGCGTGGCAAGGGACTGATTGAATAACATCCCAAACTGCATTTGACAACATGACCACATAGAGCAGGGCGCATACTAGCCGGATCTGCACACTTGATTACTTCCGGGTATGCTAAAGGCATGGGCAGGTTCAGTGACAATCAGAGACAATTCGTCACAGGCGATGCATTGCAGACACACTGCAGGACTGGCGCAAATGCTGCGTAACTATGCTGACTGCTGCAGGTTTGCACAGTGGATTACACCACAGAAAGACAGGAAAATGAGTAAATCATGTAACGTTATTGAGTATACTTTGTATTATAATGTAACGTTACAAAATTTTAAAAAATATTTATTAATATTAAAACATTTATTTTTATGTATCAATATCTATTAATATTGTCCTATATTTCCAAGGATGGGACTATTTCTCATTTGCTATTTTATCTCCATTACCTAGCACAGTTTGTCTCCTTATGATTTTAATTTTTATTTGAATTTATTGTTTCAAATTCCAGTTCAGCTATTACTTAATAGCTGAGGGATTTGGTCAAGTTATATAATCTCCCTGTACCTTGGCTTCCTCATGTACAAAATCAGAGTAATAATAGCACCTACCTCATGAGGCTGTTTTCAGGATAAATTGTTTGTCTTAGAAAACACTTAGAACATGATGATATTTCTGTCAGATGACATGCACTGTATAAATGTTTTTTTAATAAATTAATGGATTTGAGTCATCTCTATAAATTCCTGAACTGATGAGAAGATGATTAAAAGTTTTCTCTCTGAATCACTTTGACATCCTGGCCTTAGGACTGTGAATTCTAAAATCTTGCCCTTGAGGACCCCATCCCCATGAGCCCCAGACCATCGGGTTGGCATCAGAGAGTGACTGCCAGAAGAGAGCACACACATTTGCTATAAGTTGTCTGTGCAACCTGACTTTCCTGAGGTTCTTTGAAATATGTAAAATGACTCAGTTCTAGACCACCAGCCTCTACCTAGGGGCTCCCGGCCAGTAGACTACTTAGCCCCCCAACTAGTTCCACTGTGTGGAGATCATTGTCTGTTGCTTTCTAAAGCATCCCAATAGGAATTGTTAAGACGACTTGGATTGCTTTAAAATAACCCAGGCCTGAGTGTAGTGGGGAAGGATTACTGCTGAAACTAGATTAGCCACATGTTGATAAGAATTGCAGCTAACAGTGGTACATAGAGGTTCATTATACCAGTCTTTCTATTTTTGTGTATATTTGGTAATCCTCATATTTAAAAATTTCAAAATACTTTTTAAAAAAGAAAAAAAAGTGCACAAGCAAAGCTGGGGGAGGGCTAGTCTTCGTGCACAAGTTGACTAACTTCAGAACGAAGATGGTTTGTTGGTGACTGAATGAGCAAACAACTGGATGCCATGAACTGGCCAATTTCATTAAGGCAGCATGGAAATTTAGTTATTATTTTCGTTTTTGTTTCTTTCTGCTACAGAGGAACCAACAGTTCCTTCTACGGGGCTGGGAGGTAAGCCTGTCTTTTGAGGTTTGGGCTAATTTGGGCTATTTCACAGCCCTTCTTCATAGGTTTAGAACCATATGATCTTTAGTCCAGATTGTTCAACAGAAAGATGATTGCTAACCCAGAACATTTAAACAGGTATATGCCATATCCAGCCATGGCGTGTCATGGAGAGTCTCGCTCTCTAACGTTGTCTGTTTCTCTCAAAGCTGAAAAGGAACCGTTGAAAATTCAGTTTGAGATGTCACTTGTCATGATTGACAATATGAAAGGAATAGCTCATCTGTTTAAACAAGTGGGCCAAACTGATCATGTTTGGCCCTAGAAATAAGTCATTGACTATTCCCCTTAGCACCTGCGTACAGTATGTGCCTTGATGCCAACCACCAGCTGGTTGTTGCAGTACGTGATTCTTGGAGCAAGAGTCTCACCAGAAAGAAAAAGACAATTAAACCTCTATCCCAGCAAAGTCTACCCTTGTTCTGTGTCTATAAATGGCAATGGTCAAACTGCTACTGCCTTTTGGCACTCCACCTTGAACCTGGTAGGATTTCAGAGAATATCTGTGTTTCGATGCCTTTCTCCAGGTTCTCAAGTTCATGTGTCTGTTTCCAGGTGAAAGGACAAATCCAGCCACACCCATACCTCCAGAAAACACAGAGAAAGAAGATGTCAAAGAAACATTTAAAGAAAACAAAGGTATATGCAGAACTCTCCTGGGAAAAATAGATAACGGGACTCCCTTGATCACACATTACCCACAGTTACATTTCTTACTTTTTTCCATCCCATAGCTACCTAACAATGGAACTAGACAGGGCATTTGTGACTTTGCAAAAACTGCATCAAATGTTAGCTTTCATCAGTGAACTATGCTGATGGAGCTGTCCTAAGACAATAGGGGAAATTAGGCTGCAGGGGAGGAAAAATCCGCATGAAGATGGAGCCTTGGGAACCACCCAGAAGTCCTGGGGCGGGTGATGGGGCAGAAACTGACAGAATGGATGTAGGGAAATAAGAGCAGAGAGTCGCAGACCATGCTGCATAGTATCCATGATGAATATTAATTGTGAAACAAATAAAGGAAATGGACAAAAACCGTTTAAAAGTTAAATCATAAAAGATAAAAGGAAATGGGGTGATGAGTTGGCGTGCTAATGGACTTTCAACCTGGACTCCACTTTGAGTTGTTATTGTTTTGTTATCCCCACCCCAGGATTAGTTGATGGATTTGAGAGAGAGAGAGAGAGACATTGATGTGAAAGAGAAACATTGATTGGTTGCCTTACGTACTTGCCCCAACTGGGAATTGACCAGAAACCTAGGCATGTGCCCTGACTGGGAATCGAACCTCCACCTTTTTTGGTGTGTGGGACAATGCTCCAACCAACTGAGCTACCAGACGGGGGCTCCACCTTGAATTTTAAGAGGGAAATTTGGGTTTTTTTGTCGCTGGGCAACTTTAAAAAAACCACAAGTTCTCTGTGCTTCAGTTTAATCATTTCCATAATGGAAGTAATAACGTTTTCCTCACTACCTGAGAAACGGTGTCCATAAAATAAAACAGGATATTGTGATATGGTGGTTAAGTTCCGACTCTAGTCCTCCAAGTTAGCACAACCCTACAGGTTAAGGTCTCAGGCCCCAACAAGACTGCCTTCCCTTCAGACATCAGCCACAAGTTCTGGGATCCCCAGGCCACCTGCAAATCTATCCAACTGGCTATAAATCCAGGGGGTGCCCACCACTCCCTCAGGTTCATTAATTTGGTGGGACAACTCATAGAACTCAGGAAAATGCTATACTTATGACTACATGTTATTATAAAGGATACAAATCAGGACCAGCCAAATGAAAAACACAGCAGGTGAGGTCTAGAGAGGTCCCACACGGGGAGCGCCTGTCCCTCTCTCTGTAGAGTCTGGATGCCTTCTCATGCTCCTGACACATCAGTGTGTTCACCGACCAGGAAGCTCCACTGAGCTTTGGTGTGAGAAGTGTTACTGAGGTGTCATGACATTAGTATAACTGATGTGGTCATTGGCCATGTCATTGAGCTCAATCTCCAGGCTCCACTGCCTTCCCACCAGCCCCATTGTGAGACATCTCTGTCAGCATCAACTCTGATATGGTCTGAGGGCCTTGTGAATAACAATCACTCCTATTACCTGAGAAATTCCAAAGTTTTGGAGCCCCTTCCTCCCAGGAACCAGGGACAAAGGCCAATCAAGTGTGTTATTCTACAACAGATAATACAAGGAAGTGTTGGGTAAAAGTACACAGTACTATGCAAAGATGGGTGGCATTTTTATTGCTCTTTGTTATTAAGGTGGTATTTAAAGTGGTCGTGTGTGTGTGTGTGTGTGTGTGTGTGTGTGTGTGTGTGTGTAACAGATTCTGTGGAAAAACAAAGCAGCAGCCTCTGGATGGATGGGAATCTTGAACCAGTCGGACTAGGGAAGGGGTCAGTCCCCAATCCTTGATCCTCCCAAAGCCCCTTGAAAGAAAATTCTCTGGTTCTGAGACTTAAAGGACAGAAGAAGTCACTGCTCATGGGCCCAACTGGATCCAGTTAGTCATAGAAAAGTTGGGAAGCGTCTGCAGTCTGAATCGCGTGCTTCCTGTGACTGTCTCTCCTTCCTCCCTTTCCCTCGCCCCGCCTGGGGAACATCCACACCGCCTAACAGCCCCTTCTTCATTAAGGGAGAGGAAGGACAAGAAGAGAGAATATCTTTCAACTGGAAAAAAAATGTAATTACCCAAACTGCCCTTCTGCTATTGTATGAGACCCAGACTTTAAACTTCTCTGTTACCTAGAATAATTGGACAGGGAGAAAAGACTCACTTTTTGAAAGGAGATGCTCTTTGGAATACTCTGTGTCGATTATGTGGATTATGCCTTTTAAAGCCTGTTTCGAAGCACAGAACAACATCATTAATGCGGATACCGTGCATTTTTCTTTTCAGAAGCTGCCTGGAACCTTGTCTACCTCCTAGTGCCCGGCATCCCCCTCTTCCTCCTCCTGCTGGTCACCACAGTTGTCTGCTGGGTTTGGATCTGGAGGCGGAGGCAAGTAAAACCTTGGTCATGCAAACTTTTGTCTTCTGAACTCTCAGGTTTGGACATTGCCCTATTTATTTAACTAAAAGCCATGGCAGTGACAAGAGAAACACCACTGCAGTTTTGAGAGTAAATTCTCTGCCATACTCTAGGCGTTCTGAAGTACCAAGCATGTGTGCTTAGCTGTGGTTGAGAGTGATCTTGCATTCTTTCTCTTTTTTTTTTAAATGGCTTGAGGGGTGAAACTGTGTTATTCTGCATCCACTCAGCCAAGTGCTCTCAGAAACTCACGCTCTCACTCCAAAGTGTTTGTTGAGTGAGTGGAAGGGTGAATAGTGAGACACATGGAAAACATCTCTTTCAGAACATTCTGGCAAACATCTGAAACTGAATCACTCTATTCAAAATGAAATAGCCAAATACTTTTAATTGGCTTTTCTTTCCACTGAATAGCAATTGTAGACTGCTACAAAACACCGCACTAATAGCCTAGCGCAGTGATGGCGAACCTTTTGAGCTCGGCGTGTCAGCATTTTGAAAAACCCTAACTTAACTCTGGTGCCGTGTCACATACAGAAATTTTTTGATATTTGCAACCATAGTAAAAAAAGACATATTTTTGATATTTATTTTATATATTTAAATGCCATTTAACAAAGAAAAATCAACCAAAAAAATGAGTTCGTGTGTCACCTTTGACACGCGTGTCATAGGTTCGCCATCGCTGGCCTAGGGCCACTCCACTGATGGATCATGTTCCACACTTTTGAGATGCCCATGGCTTCCCAGCTACCTTTCCCCCCATTGTCCTGGTACACAGAGGAGAAGGTTGGTGTGCCCACTCTACAACAGGAAAACGAAGGTCCAGTTTCAGATGTGACGCCCTTTGATGACCAATTTAAGATGAATGAGTAAGAATAGAACCTGCTGCATTTAATAACGACTTCCTTAGAGAATTATTAGCATCAAAGCAGTTAGTACAGGCAGAATGGGCATATAGTAAGCACTCAAAAATGTTCGCTCTTATTACTGTGCTCATTGTTACTAGTTAATTCCTTTTCATCTAAAAATTGAATTCAGTTTAAAAAAAATTACAATTGTGTTTTACGGCTGCTTACTCTGCGATTGGTTCTTGATTTCTCTTCCTTTCTCTGCCTATTTAGCACCTCATCTGGTCTGGTGAAGCCTAGCGATTCCTTCCTGGAAAAATATTTTTGACTGCATAAAATAAAATGCATTGAATGCAAGGGAAGCGATTATACAAATATATAGTTTAGCAAAGTATTTCCCCAAAGGAATGTGATACAGTAATACATGTGCTCCTTGATTGATGCTTCTTTATTTAGTGATGGGTGTAATTATTATCATTTTGAAGTTATTTTAAGGCATCTATTATTACTGTGATGTTATAAAATCATGAAATCACAAAAATATCTATGATTTCTCTTGTTGATCAAGTCAGAGATTTACTAATTCTATTCTTGTTTATTTTCCTACACTTAGAATTGAAAGACTGGCCTTTTTCACTTAGAGAAGAGGGTTTTTTTTTAAGTGAAATCTCTCCCCATCCCATTCTATCATGGACCCTTTGGGGGCTCTGAAGGTCCCAGGACAGACACCTCTGTTCCATGCTCCGGCAGCAGTGAGTGGTAGATTTACAGTCGCTTTGAGCCCAGCAACACGCCCCTGTTTTGCTCCCCCTCGCCCCGCAGATGCCTGACTGTGGAGTCAGGCAGGTGAGAAGCACAGCTGTGTCTGCCCAGGATGGCCTCCTGCCCGGCCAGGGGGCACAGGGATGGTCGGGCCCAGGGATGGTCGCAGTCCCCGCGTCTGAAAGCTCAGCCCTGTCTTCTCTCCTAGGACACGGGAGCAGCCAGACCCCAGCGGGAAGGAGCCGCGCACCATCTGGCCCTCGCCCGGCCCCGGACACAGCCCGGACCTGGAGGTTTACAGCGTCATCCGGAAACAAAGCGAAGCCGATTTGGCCGAGACCCGGCCGGACCTGAAGAACATTTCATTCCGAGGGTGCTCGGGAGAAGCCACTCCCGAGGACATGTCCTGTGGCTCCGACCACAGGGCTGTGAACCCGTCCGAGAGCGGGTTCGTCACCCTGGCCAGCATGGAGAGCGGCTTTGTGACCAATGACATTTATGAGTTCTCTCCAGACCACCGCCTGGGGAGGAGCAAGGAGTGTGGGTGGGTGGAAAATGAAATCTATGGTTATTAGGACCCGGGAACGACACGTGAACGGACAAGAATGGGAAAGAAAGGAGAAGCAACAGCCTCCTATTCTCTAGAAGGAAAACACTCAGAAGGCCTGGGCTGAGCATGTGGCCCCATCACCGCTATCGCCTCCTTATCCCAGCCTTGCACCAGCTCTGGCCGGTGAGGAAGCAGCTTGCCCAGGCCGGCCGCAGAGGAGGAAATCAATGGCAGTTGATTGCTTGTAGCAGACCAGCCAGGGACAGCGCTCTCCTGGGCAGGGCCCCCGGGTGGCTGCGGGACTGGGGACACCCATCTCCAGGACACCCATCCCCAGGTCTTTTTCCTTCCTCTGGACAACAGCCCTGGTGATCACCACGGGATGGGACGGAAATGACAGATGATTTCAAAGCCTCATGTGCTGGCCTGGGCTGGCCTGCGCACCAGCCATTCTTGTATCTGTGTTTTTCAGACTGAAATCAAATAAAAAGCAGGAAGCCGAATGTTAGTCAGCCTGCGCCGACAGCCCTTCCTCTGCATGTGGCCTCGCGGGACCTTTCTTTCTTTCTCCCCACATCCAAACCGGGGAATATTTTGGAAACTGGAAATGAAATTGGAGCCTCGGCTTCTTGGCTTCTTTGGGTCCCCAGCCCCACACTGCACGTTGTTCTGTCTGTGTGTTTGTTCTCGAGCAGCATTGACGTAAGGTTACCGGTCCTGATGATGAGTCTTCCCTGTTGTTTTAGGAACCTGACAATGTTTTTGGGCTCAAATCCAGAGAAAGGTTTCGTGGCCTAACATCCGTCATTTACCGTTTGGAGGTCTGAAGGCCGTTATCTAAGTCACCAGCAACCTCCCTCTCTCCGTTTAATGATCTTATTATTGTCACCATCCCTCGTACATAGTATTTCTGAAGAGTTTGTAACTTTGCCTCCCACATGGAGCCCCACACTAGATAAAGTGAACCAGTCTGGGTCGGAGCCGTACCCAATGCAGAGGATTGTAACCGCAGCTCAATGGCCTGTCCAGCTGGCATAGGGAGCAGGGTGGATACAAAAACATCATTTACGTCTGCTTCGGGGGAGTGTATTCTGTGGAGTTACAACATTTCAAGCAAAACAGTGACCTCGTGGTCTGAAGGACTAATCCGTGGGTCTAAAACAGTGGTTCTCAACCTTCCTAATGCCGCGACCCTTTAGTACAGTTCCTCATGTTGTGGTGACCCCCAACCATAAAATTATTTTCGTTGCTACTTCATAACTGTCATTTTGCTACTGTTATGAATCATAATGTAAATACCTGATATGCAGGATGTATTTAGGCGACCCCTGTGAAAGGTTCGTTCGACCCCCAAAGGGGTCGCGAGCCACAGGTTGAGAACCACTGCTCTAAAATACTGAAGTCCCCATTTTGCTTCATACATCTTGGCTCTGTGATCTGTGCCTCAACTCTGGCCACTATGAGGTTGCCAATTCCCTGAGGGTAGGGATCCTAACCGCCCTCTCAGCATTGTCCTTCCTACAGCCAGGGCAGCACCTTGCACAGAGCAGACAATCAATTCTTGTTGAAGGGATGAACAATTCATCGTTCAGACTGATGTAAAATAGCCTGCGTACTTCAAAAGTCTGCAGGACCTGTTTCTCATACTGCACCTGCTGGGGGAGGTGATTAATTACTATTTTAGTTGGAAAAGCACTCCCACCGCCTAGGAAGAAGGAAGAGTAGTAACAAGTAAAGGAAGCTGGTGAATTGTGTTAACGGCTTGCTTTAATTATGCCACTAAAACCTGGAAAAGACCCATTCTTAAAGGTTATAATGGGAGTGACTCCTTCAGCACCTTCTCTTTGCCGTTCCTGTGTTTCCTGCACAGATTTCTCCCTTCTGGGTTTTCATGCAGCCAGTCTTACCTACCCTGCATTTAAATTAATCCATTCCTTTTCCTCCTCAGATTTACTAGCCTGAATTTATCCAACTCCATTTCTATCTCTGACAATTACGTTTCACTAATCTAACAAACGTTTATTAAGTGTTTATGTTCAAATTGGACATTGAGTTGATCTAGGTATTGTTTTAAAATGTAATATACTGCCTGGCCGCTGTGGCTCAGTGCTTGAGCATGGACCCATGCACCAAGAGGTCACCAGTTCGATTCCCAGTCAGGGCGCATGCCCAGGTCTTGGGATCTATCCCCAGTGGGGGCCATGCAGGAGGCAGCCAATCGATGATTCTCTTTCATCGATGTTTCTCTCTCTTTCTCTTTCCCTTTCTCTCTCTCTAAAAATTAATAAAAACATATTTAAAAACATAAAAATGTAGTAAACCTGTTTCATCTTTTAAGACCATAATTCCCAGGGTTTTTTCCCCCCACTGTGACACACACAATAGATGAAATATATATAAAATAATTCCTTGTGTCTCTTTTATGAGTCCACATGATATAAAATGGTAAATTGGTATTTTGACAAGGTGTGGAATATTTGCATAGTTTCAAAATATCTCCCCACAAAATGCTCACGCATTACAAAGGAACACTGCCTGCAGACACGACCTGAAATCAAATGATCAGTGTGAACATCGCCACTAATGGGACAATTGAAATTACATACCACCTAATCAGGTACAATCAGACGAACACATAATATTTTTGCCAAAGATGTATAATATGAATCTAATTGTGAGGAAGCATCATGTAAAAACATCTGTAAAATAACTTCAGCCCTGACCGGTTTGGCTCAGTGGATAGAGCGTCGCCCTGCGGGCTGAAGGGTCCCGGGTTCGATTCTGGCCAAGGGCATGTACCTTGGTTGCGGGCACAACCCCAGTAGGGGGTGTGCAGGAGGCAGCTGATCAATGTTTCTCTCTCATTGATGTTTCCAACTCTCTATCCCTCTCCCTTCCTCTCTGTGAAAAATCAATAAAATATATCTTTTTAAAAATAAATAAATAAATAAATAAAAATAACTTCAGACTTCAAGTGTCAAGATAAGGAAAGTCAAAAAAGACTGAGCAACTGCTCTAGACTGAAAGAAACTAAAGAGGGGACAACTAAAGTCACTGTTCCATTCTGAACTGAGTCTTTTTGCTATTAAAGAAATTACTAGAATATCTGGAAAAACTTGGGTGGAGTGTGAGGACCAGATAGCAGTGATGCATTGGTGTTAGTTCCTGATTTTGATAGCTGTGTTGAGGTTATCTAAGAGGATGTCCTTGCTTGTGGGAAACACATATTAGAGTGTTAAGGGATGATGGGACATCAGGTTGGCAACTTAACTCTTAGATGGTTTGGGAGTGGAGGGCAGGGGTAGGAGGTCTTTGCACTGTACTGGCAACTTTTCTTTTAGTTTGAAATTGTTTGAGGAAAAGCATTTGTAAGTAGTGGTACTAGACTTATTAGCAACCTATCACTGGCAGTATGCCGATGTGGTTGAAAGCGGCTGATCCAAGACCAAAAAGCATCGTTGTTAAAGCTGTCAATCAGAACTCCCACCCCAGGCTCAGGCTCGGTGCCCAAGCCCCACGTTGGCCATGTCCTTGCAGGTTACAGGGAGCCATGATGAGTACTTTCTGACTATGACCATCACCCTCCGAAAGTCAACTCAGCCATCCCTTTCGTCCAGGATTTCCCGTCGTCTCGCTGTGAAAATACACACAAGTGGTGGGATCTAGTGCCATCCAGTTCTAAAAGCAAGTGATTTCAATACGATTTTCTAGCTTATTTTTGAGCATGTTATGCTGCCTCACTTCTGAACTTGTGGTAACACGTACTGGATGGTGGATGCAAACTGTGGAGAGAGGTGCCACATAAAGTCCTCGGAAACTGTAAGCTCAGAGATGAAAAAGCAAAAGAGCCAGTTCTTCTGGACAGCCTCTCCTTTTCTCGTTCAAAGAGCAGTTAATGATTAGGAATTGCTAATTAATCTGGTGTTATTTTTTAATACTAAATTTGAACAGCAGAAAGAAATGGTGTCTGGAATGAGTCATCAGAACAAGGGCTTCAGGAGAAACCGGTTTTCAAAACAGAGTAAGACCAGCTTAGGCCTAGAAAATACAAACCTTTTGAAAACATAAAGCTGTTCAATATATATTATCACAAAATGGATACTAGCATCATCTATGGTGAGTTCCATATTTTAATCAGCAAAATTTAGATCCATTCAGAACAGCTCAAATTTTTGCTGTTCTGTTCTTTTCTCATATGACTTGTATTTGGTTCCAAGCAGGATCAAGCAGAATTCATAATTACTTGACTGTATTGGTGTAATTAGGGGGAAAGGCCAGTGAGCATTTCATGCAATGCATTTGGGCCAGAAAGTTGGAAGCTGCTTTAAATTTTTCACCGCCGGGTGGCAGTGTTAGGCTACCACAGAAATTACTACTCATGTTAGAAATTACTACTAGTGTTCCTTAGTTTCTGGCGAGTAACTTCCTGCAGGCAAGGGGACTGAAAAGGATATAAGGAGAAATAAGACAGCATCAATCAGACCGTCAAACCTCAGAGGGAAGGTAGGGGAGGGTGGGGGTAAGGGGGAGAGATCAACCAAAGGACTTGTATGCATGCATATAAGCCTAACCAATGGACACAGACACCAGGGGGGTGAGGGCATGAGCGGTGGGGGGCGGGGAATGAGACTCTAAGGACACATATGTAATACCTTAATCAATAAAGAAAAACATTTTTTAAAAAAGAAGTTGTTAAAATCCTGGGTTCGGGAATCAGAGTGTCTAGGTCCTAAATCCTGTTTGAGCCAGTTACTGGCTGTGCAATCAGGAACAAACTACTGAATTATTTAAGCCTCAGTTTCCTCAACTTCCAAACAACTACCCTAAGGCATTGTTGTGAGGATGAAATCACAAGATATATGCAGAGCATTGGCACAGGCTATGGACATGGTGAAGTCCATCCCTTGTGTTGACAGTCAAACCCCCAGTAACTCAAAATGCAATCTTCTTTGAAGAAAGGGTCAGACGTAATCAGTGAACATGAATGAAGTCATTCCAGTGGGCCTAATCCGATATGGCTGGTGTCCTTATAAGAAGAGGGGAGTATGCCCTGGCCAGTGTGAGTTCATGTTTAGAACATCAGCCCTCACATCACTGAAGGGTCTAGGGTTCAATTCCTGGTTAAGGGCATGTACCAGGGTTGCAGGTTCTATCCCCAGCTGGGTTGGGGCATGCAGGAGGCAACTAATCAAAGTCTCTCTCTCTCTCTCTCTCTCTCTCTCTCTCTCTCTCTCTCTCTCTCTCTCTCTCTCTCTCTCCCCACTCCTTCATTCCCTCCCTTCCCCTCTCTCTGAAAAGCAATGGGAAAAATATCCTCAACTGAGCATTACAAACACTAAAGAGGACATTAGGACACAGAGACATGCGCACAGAAAGAACATCTTGTGAAGGCGATGGCAGAGATTGGGAGGATGCTTCTGGGAGCCAAGAAAAGCTGAAGACTGACAAACCAGCAGAAACTAGCCAAGAAGCCAGAAACAGAGCCTCCCTCACAGCCTCACCTGCGGA